AGATTGGGCTAATAGAAAGGCGAGTTGCAAGCAAAAACTAAAAAACTTTGGTTTAGATTGGTTTGGATTAATTACACTGTAGGTAAATCTTTAACTCTTGAAATATCACAGCTAAACTCTCGGAAACGTAAACATAATTTTTGGTCGTAGATTGGCTAATAGAAAGGCGAGTTGCAAGCAAAAACTAAAAAACTTTGGTTTAGATTGGTTTGGATTAATTACACTGTAGGTAAATCTTTAACTCTTGAAATATCACAGCTAAACTCTCGGAAACGTAAACATAATTTTTGGTCGTAGATTCCAAATCCGTGCTCGGTTTAGCTGTATCAGGTCTAAACAAGTTTTTCCTATTGGCAATCCGATTCGGAGACACACTGTATACTGGTATATTATAATTTTTAAAATAATATATTTCCCCCCTTGTAGCAACATTCTTATGCTTTTTATTTTGTTTAATATCCTCAATTATGCTCAATAAAAAAAATGAACAAAAAAAATTTTGAATGTCCTAAATTATCTAAGAAAAACCCTCAGGGACACGTGTTCCTTTTGATCAATTTACTTCAAATTTTGCAAAACTTTTAATTTCGAAGTAATGTGTGGGTCCAGCCAAATTGATTTTTTTTTAAATTTATACAGGGTCCAATATCTTTGAATTTTGACCTGATACATCTAAACCAAGCACGGATTTGTAATCTACGATCAAAAGTTAAGTTTACCTGTCCGAGCGTTTAGCTGTGATATTTTCACCTCCCTACAGCGTTATTAAATCATTGTTTAAAAATTTTTTTTTAGTCCTTGAATTTTGTTTAGGTACAATGGGGTAGTTAAATTTTTTATGACCTATACTTTTTATGGTTTTCAAGGCGTTTTGTAATTTTAAACATTTCTGTGAAATCGGAATTTCAATTGAGTTTACCGTTTTCGAGATATTTACAAAAAAAAATCTCCTAATTACGTCACTAGGCTATTGACAACGTTGCCAGCTTTTTCTATGGTTGCCAGTGTGTTTAGTTTAAGATTCTTACGATAGATGGCGCCAGGTTATAATATTTTAGTTTTAAAACCACTTGATCTATAATTTTAGTTGAGAAGAAGAAGAAGAATTGATTTTTTGACGTTTCTTTTTTTCGGGTTATGTTTTTTTTTAAATTTAGATTATTGAAAATCAATGTTATTGTTATGTTATTTGTAATTGATATTAGATAAGTGATTTATTAATAACGGACTCCAAAGCAGAGGAATCTTGTGGAATGGTTGGTTACATTGAACATTGGAGCTTTTAACCAAATAGAGTAAGTTATAATTATAATCATATTTTGTCGTAAATGCATTTCATTAGTATAATGCCTAGTTCTTTATATTCTTTTAGATATATCTTGGACTCTAAAATATCAAACAGTAATATGATACCTCGTAATAAGGAAGATAGGTACTTAATGAATTTGGTGACCAAAAATGTACTCTAGAGCGTAGTAGTCCAAAAGTTTGTCATACATTTTTTAATCTTACAAAAGGTTTTGATGCTGATCATCAGGGATGCAAGTTTTATAAAAACTATACACAAATATCATAAATACCATTGTTAACTTACATTTACTGTTATTTTTTGTAAATTTATTTAATTCATTTTCAGCTTTATTTTGCCACTTTTTTCTATGAAATATATTAAACTCTGCTTTAGACAGTTATTAGGTACCTATTTATTACATTTTATTAGGTTTCACACGGTGTGTCAATGTGTAAACCTATCAATAAAACTTTTAATTTCAGAATTTTCTTTAACCTCCTCTTCTTCTTCTTTCACTCAACTGACAGTGACAGTATTTGTACATAACCTCTTCGGGTATTTTCTGACATAACCGAATGAAATCATTAACAAGACAACTTGACAACAGGGTAATTTTCAACCAATAGAAATCTTAGAATGTTGGTCACATGGCGAGGTTTGTGACGTCATAAAAATTTATATTTTTGTAAATATCTCGAAAACGGTAAACTCAATTGAAATTCTGATTTCACAGAAATGTTTAATATTACAAAACGCCTTGAATAAAACCATAAAAAGTATTGGTCAGAAAAAATTTAACTACCCCATTAAAAACACAATAATTCTTTATGCACAGAGAAAAGTAATCTCTTGATTTTACTATATCTGTCTTGACTCAAATAAATTATTTATTTCGATATGATCCAAGAAGATATTTATTTGGTGGAAAACTTGGGTTTATTTGACTTTTTAAACTGATGGTTTGTTTAATACAAGTAAATATTTAGTTGACTTTTTATCTCAGGTTTAGTAGAATCTTACTTAAAGAAACAAAACATTTACTTGAAGTGAGTAATTCATTTTTTTAAATTAAATGTGAAGCTTTCTTAAAGAAACAAAATATTTACTTACATGAAGAAAACAATTTATTTCAGACAAATAATTAGTACCTTTTAATATTATAATTTCACGAAATATATAGTGATTGAACCAAACAAATGTTTGCTTGTTTTAATACTATGATTTATTTATTTTAATGTTGTTAATTACTTGATATTTGGTCGGGAAAATTAAATTAAAAAACGTTTATTCCAATATTTTTTATTTGAACAAAACAAGTGTACACAGGAAACAGGAAGTTCCTTGACGCATTACTAGTATATTACCAGTGGTATTATTCCAGAAAATGAAACCTTCAACTCGCTAGAGATAATGTTTTTAGTGCGTTCCACTAACTACTTCAAGTATTGACAGCTGTTTCCACCTATTTAAGGTCTCTTTAGTATCGAACAACTTGTAGTGTCACACCAAAGCAAAGGATTACCTAAGTTTATATATTCTTCATGTAAGCCAACAGAGGCGAGATTTAAGAACATCACGTGATCCACAAAAATATAAATATTTATGGGTTAACTGGGTTTAATGAACTATTCCTTTTTTTCTGGGTAGGTGCACTTCTCAAATATTTTTAGATAAACACCGTTTTGGTGTTCATTTTCAACCCTAATTCATGGTGTTATATTAACACCACTTGGTGTTGGATTTTGACACCATTTTAGGATTACTCTTCACACCGTAGATATTTTAAGCAGTGTAGGTACACAAAATTTTAATTATCTAAATCACTTTAACTTACCAACAAAACTAAAAAGCAAATGGGTTAAATTATTTTCTTTAAAGAATTCTTCCATACTATTAAACATTAGCACTGAAACACAAAACTATAACCGTTGATTAAACACCTCCTTCTCTTAAGTTAAGAGTCTTCACGCAAATGCTGCCGGCTGCCGGACAAGCGTCTTTGTCTTTGGAGTCAAATGCTCTAATTGGCTCCGCGAGTCACGTGGACATAAAAGCAAATAAATATGTATTTGTTTCAAGTAAATGTATTTTTGAAACAAACAAATCACGTGTTTACGTTAATTATATAACATACATTGTATCAATTCTATTATTTTGTTAAAATAAGATATTATATGCTTGTATTAACATTTGATAAAACTAAATCCATACAACCTATATCCAAACAATTTAATTAATTGCTCTAAATAAATATTTCTTTACAATTAATCACAATAATAAGTTGTTTTCAAGAAACTCATGATTTACAACCAAATAATAGTATTTTCTTATTGTAAACAAGAAGTTACTACGAATAAGACAATTTTACTTCATACAAGAAAAACTGTTTCAAATAAATGCATTTTCTTAAATCAAGAGATTACTTTTCTCTGTGTGATCACTTGAATAAAATACACAAACTATAGGTACATAACGTAACTATATAAAATAAGTTTTTTTAAAAAGGACTAAATCATTGCATTTTCATGTTTTGGTGCAATATTAACTAATGATAACTTTACCTAATATAATTTATATTTAAGTTTTGTACATTTTTAAGCAATCTAACAATAAATAATTGTTGTACAAACATTACCTTAAAATCAAATATTGTTATATTGGATTCCTCTAAAAAACGCCAACAACTGCATTTTAAACGACCAAAAAACCTACGAATTCATGGCAACATAATATTAATATAATACATAATATAATAGGTACCGGTTCTTGGTACTTTACTGCCGGGTGGAGAATCAACGCTTTTAATAATGCTAAATGCTGTTTGAATTTAGACGACTAATTTTTTGTTTTATGATTACTGAATTGAAATTTTTACAATTTTCACGTAAATCATTACTAAACAGTGTATTTATTATATCTAATAGGTTTTATATTTTCCACTCAACCCAAGATTATCTCTAGAATAACACCCAACAACGCAACAAATCGTGCCACGGTTTTTTTGCCGATGATAACGGCCACGTCGTGGCATTACTAGCTTATAACATAACGATTTCAATTTTTTTAACACAAACTGTCAACAAATATACTTATGTGAATTTGCCAACTTCAGCTTCCATAGCAACCTTGGAAATGTGGAGTATACGAGCATTAAAACAGATGCCATTTTTTTAAACTTATCCTATCTCGTGGTATCGCGTTAGTGCATACATTTGTTTATAAATAGTTTTAAATTGATAAAAAATTAAAAACAAAGTTTATCAAGTTGGTGCGCTATTTTTAAGGTACCCTGTTTACGAATATAATATAATAGTTGAAGAATATTTCGAATATTTAATACTGGTTGTAAAATTTATATTTTGCGTAAATTTTCCCATGATGTTGGAATATGCAGGCAGGTAGTTTGAAAGGCATATGCATAGATGCGCGCCCTAAGTGAAGCAGTGTAAATTCCCACAACAGCATCGTAAAAACTTCTTGTCATCAACGTAGCGGTAAATGCAGCCCGTCACGTGTGCCGACTAGCCAATCAAAGTCAGACCTGTGGCTTTCGAATCTTCCATCTCCCAATTTCGACGCGCGATAAACAAAGTAGGCGACGAGTGACGTCGCGATTGCAGCGTGGCAAAGTCTCGTGGCCTATCGCTTGCTTACTTCATTCAGTTCGAAACTTGCTACTGAAACGAGTGCGACTACTAACCAAACGAAAATGATCAAGTGTGCCGGCGTTTTAGCTCTATTCGTTTGTTTTTTGGCAGCTGTCAACTGCGATGACAAAGACGGTTTAAAAATTGACGTGATCAGCAAACCGGAAGCATGTGACGTCAAAACGAAAAGTGGTGATATGTTGACGATGCACTACACAGGTACCCTTGCCACCGATGGCACCAAATTCGACTCAAGGTACGTTTTTACCATATGCGGAAAAACACTTTTTCCAAGGCTACTTGACTAACGGGTTTCGCAAAAACCAAACGTGTGCAAAGTTCGCGAAGTAATTTTTAAAAGTTAAATTGTTCCAAGTGCACTTTATTCCCTTCATACCGCAAAACCATTGTAACTTTCTTGGAACAAACTTCATTTGTTTTACCTCCAAATTCTTTAATGTTATCAAATGCATTTCCTAAACTTTAGGGATCTTGTGGCTTAAAATCGGTAAAAAAAATGTGTATGTAATGTTTCAGAAATACGATTAGTATTGCATGTTAACTAGGTTAGAATACCGATAAGCTAAGCGAAGGTCACGTTTAAAAAAGGCCAATAACCACGCAATTACCTTTGATCATACAGGTAGACCACCAAATGTATTTTTCTATTTAAAGGGGCAAGTGGATAAAGGGATTAAGTTACATAATAAATAATAAAGGACAAACAATATTGTAATTTCAATACAAAATTTATTTTATTTTCGTAAGTAATATCATAATGGCACCTAATTTTTTCGAAAAAAAATTGAAAAAACACGTTGCTAAGTAATATTTTAACAAGAAGCATGAGTGCTGGTGGCAACAAACATCCGAGTCGAAGACGAGGATTTTTGCACCTGCACGAATGGATTTTATTAAAAAAATATTACTTAGCATTGCGTTTTTTCGACTTTTTTCACAGGAAAAATTAAATGCCCGGAAGGTATTTGACAAGACTATTTCATGAGTAACAGTTAACAATTCAAATATAAATTGCAATTTTTGGTGACAACAGCTGTCAAGTTTTGCCGCGGGTATACTAAAAAAAAAACTGCTGACAGGTGCTGTCATACAGTTATTCCACCTAGAAATCATTTGTATTTCAAAATTGCGCGTTTGTGATTGGAAATAGTCAATAACAAAATTGTCTGTTTTTTACACATTGGAGATTAAATTTAATTAGCACTTAAAAGTACAAACAATAATTGTACAAATAGTGTAAACATAGCAACAAATTTAACTCCATAATATGGAGTCCATATGGTAACATCTAAAAACGTTAACGTGTATAAAATGTTTTAACCTTAAAAAAATTGATTTAGTATGTTGGGTCGTGACTCCGATGTCCTCATTTATTTATAAACTTTCTTTTACAAATTAATAATTACTTTAATAAACGTTTTCATATGCTTTCGATATTACATAAAACAAATGGATTATCTTTATCCATTGTGGATAATATATTCTTATATTCTTATGTCCTCTCAAAGAAAAAGTGGGATATATCTTTAATTAACGATATAATCAAGAGTGTAATTCATTAACCCTTAACATAGAGAAGGAGTTTTGGGCTCATTAACTAAACCATCTGCTAAATTTAACGTTTATCCAAGCGAATTCTGAACTTTTCAAGAAAAACTTAACCTTGTTAAAATGAGTTTACTAATTAAATTCATTATATTTTAATTTTTTTTATGCTATCATTATGTTTAAAAACAATTTAAAATGTATAATCATTTTAATTAAATCAGCTCACTCTTTTTATTGTGTCAGTTGAATTAAAAATAAAAATGTTCTGAGAAGAGAATGTAATATTTTTTGCATATTATTAAACCAAACTTAATAAAAATAGCTTATAAACTGTTAAAACCCATTTTTGTCATTTTTATTAATGAATGGTTTTGAGTTATGGTATAAAATTTAATCTATTAAGAAAATTATTATATTAATTTTTATCAGTAGGTAGTTAAAATTAAAATATGCAGGTCACCCACAGTAAATGTAACGCATGGTGACTGGTGATAACTGATTTGAACCAATGCCGTTAAAGTGAGCCCGTTAAATTATAATTATTTGCACAACTTAAATTTTTCGCAATTTCACAAACTTAATTGTTATTCAACATTGAATGTAATTTTTAGATAAAAAATCAAAAATATCAACTGTTAAAAATATTTTTTTTTTTATTTTAAATAGTAGGTAAACATGTTTTTGGATATTATGTAATAATTTATTACATAATATCCAAAAACATATTACTAATAAATATACTTAAATTAAAGGAATTATTAAAAAAAACATTATTTATTTTATGATTTTTATGCTATTTTTATTTATCTGCAGTAAAAAGATTTTTCAGAGCACAAACAAAATTGAAATTTTATAGCTATTCACTAAAGTTAATATTATGAACATGTTAATTTTGCTTTAAAATTTTAATAAATTTGTACTTGACATTTAATTTTTGGAGTAGACACGCTATGGTTCTAAAATTAAATCAAAATATCCTTTATATAATAATAGTGATATTGATGAAAATTATTACATTAAAATAATTTAAAATTTTCTTTGATATTATTATTATATTTGGTATATTAATATATATTATATATAATATAATTATATTTGGTATATTAATATATTAATATATTATTAATGGTATATTAATATATTAATCTTTAAGCTTTAATACATATTTGTAGACGCTCACTAAATATTCGATTACTTTATACTTTAATTAAATGTTATTATAGAACTATTTAGAGATGTAAAAAAACGGTTTTTTTTTCAGATGTGAAAAAAAAACATGAAAAAAAACCAAGAAAAAAAACGGTTTTTTTTGTTTTTTTTTTTCAAAATGTAATTTTGACTAAAATATATTAATAATAAAGTGAAATGTAGAATATATTAAATTTTTCATTATTGAAAATTTTGATTGAGACTAAAAAATCTGATTTCTTATTATTTGGTAGTTTCCACATTAGAAACCAGTTGCAATGTAAAACTTCTACACCAATACAAAAAAATTAAAGGATAAAAAATATTGTTTTGCGATTCTTCGGATAGCTGTATCTTTGTTAAAAATGGTCGTATTGGAGCCGTAAAAAAAGCAATTTGAAGCTTAAAGTTTCTAGTTTTGAGATTTTTAGATGAAAAATGTGCAACGCTCAATCCTAACAAATACCGTAATAAAAAAATCGTTTTTTTGTCTTTCTGGTCCATGGAATGTTCTGACTTAACCACCAATAAATAAATGTTCTACAAGAATTTGCTATTGTACTTTTGAAAAAAAAATTCTATACATGAATTTGAAAAATCATGAAAAAAGTGCTTTTGGTAGCTTTTTGCAAAATCAAGCGCTGAATCAAAAATGTAGTTACTTTTTTTAGGACCAAATCAAAACAAGCGCGGCCCTTATTGGTCAATTCGGTGGTGGTGGCGCGTGCATAGCATTTACTAATTGTCATTTAGTGGCTAATTTTTGTCCATGAAACCTAAAAAATTAGGCATATGGGACTAATCTTGAAAAAAACCTAAAATGTGAAAAAAAAACATTTGAAAAAAAACAATGAAAAAAAACCTGAAAAAAAAACAAAGGAAACGGACCGTTTTTTTTTCAAGTCGCATCTCTAGAACTATTACTGTACAACTTTGTAAAATAATTAATAGAACTGTGACTTGAAAATAAAATGTTGTATGCCATTCAGCTGAGAATTTTTTTTGTGCTTTGCTTAAAATTTGATCTCGCCTCACCCTTATGACATAAATAAGTACAAAAAATTTAAAAATAATGTTATTGTTAAATTGACTATAATTTTTGAGGGGTAAACCAATTTAAAATCAGCGATACCAACTTTCCAACGTTATATGGACGTTGTGTTCTGATTTTCCCTTATCAGTCGTTATAAATAGGAAAAAATCCTTATCAATAAGAAATTCCTCTTAGCGACGCGTTACGCATGACTACCCTTGTGATTGTGTTCCTTAGCTGTTAATTGGTATGCAATTTTTAATTTAAAAAAATCTAATAGTTTTTTTTTTTAATTAAAAATATTATAATAATGTTAAAATATTATAACATATTAGGTATATAAACTATATTTAACATTTTTTATTGGCCTTTAGTCTCTTAATGTTTTAAAAAAAATTTATATGCACTTTAACTAATTCTACGTTTATACTCTTGGTTATGTTAAATGTTAAAAAAAACTTAATGGGAAACATAAAACTTAGCTGTTTATAAATAATTGATTTTCTTTATTTGCAATTTACTTGCAATGATAATTCTTCTTTGTAAGAAATTAAGATTTATTACAACAAACGGTTAAAAATATTTTTCTCCAAAATGGCTCTCCTCTATTTTTTTACAAACATTTCATTTTATTGACAATTTCCCTGTATATTATTCTAATTATTAGTTTTTATTTTATAAAAAGGCTACACAATCTCTACGAAAATAAATTTTAAACACATTAAAATATGATAAAATTTCGTGGGAGTATTATTTGACTACTATGAGTATGAGTATGAGTATGGGAACGTATGGCAGGCCCCATCGACATTATCTTACACTAATCTCCCAGGGTTATTTTACCCCCTTTCCGTTCTCCTGCGTATCCCGCCAATTCACAGCATTACCTGTGTTTGTTGGGTCCGAAGTTTTTACGCCGGCTGGTAGATCCCCCCTAGGAGGTCGTGGATGACAGTGTCTATGGTTAAGGACGCTCTACGGATTTTTGTCAGCCGGGTCGGGCCATACGTCCAATTTAGGAAGGTTTTTGGAGGACATTGAACTGACCCAAAGCTAAGTACAATCCGGAATCCTCCTCAACCAGGGCTTTAGTAATAACCCTATTTAGTTGGGATTCCTGAATGGGGGTTGGTGGATTAGTATGCTGCTAGAGCCTATCCTTGTTGGTGTACTTCCTGTTCGTCGCTGTCCGAGTCGGATTTCGGTTCCTGGTAGCCGCTTTAGAATTGTTTGCCCCCCTGTGCGATATTGAGTCTTACCTTCAGAACCGAAGTGTTGCCGGCCGCAACCCGCCGTAATTAGTGCCCTCTGAGTACGTGGGAATTCAGCCCCTCATGCCGAGTACCGACTTCATAAGCAGCTGTTTGTTCCGCCTTTGTTTAACCTACTGAAATTGCCGATACCCTCGAATTTTTACCCTACTTTGCGTGATCCCCATTCATTTGGGGTTATGATGGGGACTTGATTGGCTAATATGCTGCCAGGGTCCATCCTTGCGCCTCACTGTGCGGTGCGGCTGTTTATTTACGCACGGAACGGTTATTTACCTAATTTATGGTCCCCTTACTTCTAATTTATGCAGACTTGGACTTCGGGATAATTGCCAGGCAGGTGTGATGAAATTGATCCTTAACGCATGCCGCCCGCACGTGTGGTAGTCCAGGAAATTATTCATTGGAACTGATCGTCTCTCTCACACCTTTTATCCAGGTAAAACACTTGAGGACTTAATCCAGGGGGAGGTACCACACACAATTTGCACTCTTTTGCACTTGGGTCAGTTATCACGTGAAGAATCGATATTGATTTTTTTGTTATTGAACTTTAGCGGTGATGGAACTATGAAAGAAAGTACGCGCCTATCGAGATGCTTAACGCGACCGCTCAACTCAAGACCAACTGTGGAGGTATTATTTGACTACTATTAAAAGAAATTAAGTTGACTGCTTTTCTAAAAAAATATAAATAAAATATTTTTTGCATTTCCCTGTACATTTTATTTTTTTTGTTGTCTAGTGTATACATAAATGTGTAGCAGCTTGTCAGCTCAAATATTCAATTTAATTGTACAAATAAAAACTGTAACAGAAATTTGTAGTGCCGGTACGGCGTTTATTTTATTTAAATTGTCGCCCATTCATTGGCGCCTCCACGGTATTCCCTTCGTGCAGGCCAGATTGTCCGAAACCGAATTTCAAATACGCAGGGACGAAATGAAAATATAAATTTTTTAGCTTATTAAACAGGCACATGTGCATCCACCACCACCGAGCACATTTACTCGTTTTTTGTCATATTAGATCATTAATAGTTAAAATGTATCACAGATGCATTTCTAAATTACCTACTATTTACAATATGCTACGTTTTTATGTTTTGAGCAATATACATAAATGTTATAAAAGTTTTTGTTTTTTTAAATCTAATAATAATCCAAACAGAAAATGAATTTATCTTTGTTTTATTTATACTATGCAATGTAATTACTCATATATGAATTTATTTAAACAATTATTATGTCACAAGATACTTTGATTTAATTGACAATGCAAGTTCACACGATGAGTGTGATTAAAAAATAATACATTTTTTTACATTTTTGTTATTATTTCAATAAAGTAAAGACATGTTCTTCTTCTTTTTGGATTATTATTAGTTTTGAAACATGCAAAAACTTTTTAATATTAAAATTTTTTCGAAAAGTTAAAATATTCTTTTTCCTTTTTTTCAGTAAATCCATTTATGTATACACTAGACACACTGTATAATATATAGTACTTTTTATAATATTATGTACCTACCTATTTTAAAATTGCAAAAGACTAAAATACGCTAACATTGTTTTATAGTATATTATGGATTTGTAGTTTGAAAAACGACACGAATTTAATTAAAAGTTGCATACTATACTTTTTCTATGACAAATACTTTTTATTATCTAAAAATGATTTAAATTAAATATCTCGATATAGCGACATCTAAAAAACAGAAGAGTAACCAACTTGGGAAATGTCAAATTTGTTTGTGTAAATCTAAATGTATCCCTTGAAAATGGACCGTTCAATCTGATATAAAAGCAGTTTTTCACAGTGGAAGTAAAGAAAATGTTTTATTGACTCACCATCGTGAAGTCTCCCCCCGAAATTAAGTTAAATCTAGTTTACTGCCGGCAACATTAAAAGTTTAGTACAATGTTCATATAAACTTTTCAAATTTTGGCGTTGAGAAACTACTTAATACTTTTGTATGTTTGTATTGAGATAATCAAATAATTTTTACATTTAGTATTATTTTACAAGAAGGGCACTTTATTTTAACGATTGTAAGACATTTGACAACTGTCAACTAATTTATAAAAAACTTCAGCCCGTGACTAAAAACCTGTTGCCAACTTAAGCCCTGACTAAAAGGCCATAAAGCCAACTTGTCAATGTGAATTTAAAAGATCACTTTATACTTATACATATAGGTAACTCCGTAATTTCAAAAAGGCAATAACCTACAAGCAAGAGATAAATGTACAAAGTAATAACATAATCATTCACAATACATTCGTCTCTCTCTTACTCGTTGCATATAAAAAAGGTGAATATTTAAACATTGATAGTTGAAAATTATATATACATTACTTTTATACTTTATTACCTTAACATTTTCCAGAGTGCCTATTTTTTTCAAAATATTTCTACGTGTGTATCATCTTTTTTGGTAGGGTAACCAATTTTAATTGTTAAATATTTCAAATCTGACGAATTTTACCTCATTTTTTCGTTAACTTCAGCCCGTAACTAAACTGCCCAAAAGCCACCAAAATTTGTAAAAAGTGAGGTTTGATTCGTCTGAAGGTTGTCAGATGTCAATTGTTTAACATATAAAATTGGCTTTAAATTTGCTTCAAATATTTAAAATACATATTTTACCATTTTAAACTTATAGTTTATTCTTCATATTTTATTAAAAATTAAATTAAAATTTTTACTTCGTTATTTCATTTGTGACTGGCAAATAATAAAATATTTATGAACTTTAATTTGATTAACAAAAATAAAAATTAATTAAATAAATTTTTTCGTGAATGGGTCGTTAAAATTTGAGCAATTGTCTAGTTTTAATTAAAGAGATTAAAATTACCATTTTGAATATTTAATTTATAATAAATAAATTTTGCAAAAATAATAATAATCATCGCGATTTATAATGTAGCAAAATGACAACACGAAGCCGTTATTTTAACGATTATTTATAAATTTGCTTTGCTTTCAATTTAGTTTATATTTGTTATTAAACGATCTATAGTAAAATTTCATAATAACGTTCGTTTTAGTATCCACTTAAATTTGTTAATTTATGTTTAATTGGCTCTATATTAATAAAAAGCCTATACAATTTAACAAGTTTATTTTATGTTTAAACATTTTTAATTAAATTTCAATAATTAACAATACATTGTCTTTCCATTTATTTTAACAATAAGTACGACGCATATATATAAAAATAAAATGCACTCTTAAAAATGACATGGTACTTCTAACGAAATTTTATTAGTTGAATCGGTTTGGTGAGAGCACCGAATTATTTTCGCTGGAATTGATAAATAGTTGTCTTAATGCCTAGTTACAAAAACTCAGTAAAACTTTTACTGCATGTTTATTGTAACCAGAGATGGGCACGAGTACTAAAAAAAGTATTCGTAAAATTTTAATTACGAGTACTTAAAATATTTACTCGTAAGTACATTTATAAAGAGAGGTTACATTTACGAGTAGTAATCGTGAAACACGAGTAAAGAGTACGAGTACTTTAAATGTTAATGTTAAATGTTAGTTAAAATAATTGATTATTCTTTATTCATTATACATAATTTGGTCCAGAGCTATAAAACTACAAATACAAATTTAAAAATTATTTATTTTATAAATTATTTTTTTTTTATTTTAATAGTGTGGTTATGTAGGTACTAAAAAATCCACTTCCACAAAAATTGGAAAATTGATCAGTATACAGGAAAAAACAAAAAGTTTATTTTTTCTCAATGGACACCCTATATACATATAATATAAATTATGCTTAGAATTTTACAAGGAATCTAAAAATAAATTCATATATAGGGTGATCCATTGAGAAAAAATAAACTTTTTGTTTTTTCCTTTATACTGATCAATTTTCCAATTTTAAATCAAATGTATACTTTTTGTGTCTTTGACCTTGGTTGCTACTTTCCTCACTCCAGCCAATCATATTGCAGAAATTTAGGTTGGCAGCATTGCCTTACTGCTACTGCTACTCCTATAAATCCAGCTTTAAACATAATCCTTGCTACATTAAGAACTTAAAAGTAACTTTTTTTTTAATGTTGAAGGCGTAAAGCTAAAGCCTATCCTGTTTCCTGGCGATAAGTCTAATAATCTCAGTAATTAAAAAATATATGACAGAATTTAAATAAAATATTTTACTAAACCGGATTGGTTTTCAAAATGGTTTCATTAATCAGATCGGATTTTTTTAGTATGACTTCTATATTTAAATTTAAATTACCTTTATGCATTTATCACTAAATAAATTAAGCTGTAACGAAAAGAAAATAGCCAATTTCCTATAAACAAGCAAAAGAAAACTTAACTGACATTAAGCTGTGATGAATGGGACTTTTATTTAAGTTTAGTATACATTTATGTAAAATTTCTTTTAAATTATAATCATTCAATAATTTACTAAATACAGTATTATAAACTAATGCATTTAATTTTTCCTAAACTTTTAACATTTTAAATAGAGATTTAATTTGAATTTGAAATATTTTATTAATTGAACTTATTGATCTTAATAATACCACCTGATTTGCTCTAGTTTCTGATCATAAGTTAATTAATTAATTAATAATTACTCTCAATACATAATATGAATGACATACGTCGTATGTCTCAAAAATGAATAGGTAATACGGTAAAGAAGCATCGTTAGTCGTCATTATCGTAACCAAAATGCATCTTTTATTAAGCAGCTGATAAATACGTATGTTATCAACGAGTGTATTGAGAATAAAGCCGGAAAATGGTAAAAATATCGAAAAAAAGGGGAACAATCTGTTGTGTTGTAGGGGGTTTTCGAGAGGAAATCTGGGGTTAAGTTTTTCAATAAACAGTGGGAATCCAAATAAAGAAATAAATTGCATACAGTGCTTGTAAAAATTAATTGTAAATATTTTTTACAATAAATAATAATACTAATGATTTACGTAAAAATTGTTAACATTTAAATTTAAATTCAGTATAAATCATAAAAGAAATGATAAAAGACCAAGAACGAGCAGCGCCGGATTATAAAAATTTGCGCCCCGGGTCTAATAAAAATTTTCCGCCCCTACCTACATAATAAATTCAAAGAAATGTCACTTGTTAACAAAAGGATTTTATTTAACCATAAACATTAGAGTTGTAGTATTTTTTCGAAATTTTTTTGATTTTGGAGATCAAATAAAAAAAATAAGTCTAAAGTATTTGAGTTTCAACAGATAAAAAAATTTTAGACGTCGCTCAAAACTTTTTTAAACCAACCTTTTTTCTCAAAATCTTTGGCTTCTCACTATTTTTTTTGTAGGTCGTATAGGAACATAATACATTTTTAAGTCAAAATATTATTGGTCGCTCAATATTTTTAAAATACATTTCCTGATTTTTTTAATAATTTTGATCTTGTAACCACTACTATTTTTCCAATTTAGTTGATTTTTTTGAACGACGTTTATTTTTTTTTTTGAGTTAAAACTTGAATACTTTAAACTTAAATTGTTTCATGTGAGCTTCGAAATAAAAAAAAATGTCGAAAAAATATTGCCACCCTAAAAACATAAACAAAAACTATATAAAAAACAAATACCTAAATAAGAAAATTAACATTTTGCCAACTCAACTTTGCGTGCTTTTAGAGAAGCAAATTTGTTTATCGCAATATTGACGTCATCTTCCAATAGGCTAATACCTATACTGTATATATACATACATATATATATGACTGGTAGTGTATATAACTATAGTTTTAAACTAATTTAAATTAATAGTTGTTCGTAGTGTAATAAAATATTCTTATATTAAAAAACCTTTACGCCCATACGCATCGCATCGGTGGAAATAAACAATTTCTGCAAACTAAAGTTCTTGTCGCCCAACAACTTGTCGGGCGCCCTACGTAATACGTGACATGACATATTTCGTATACTATGCATAGA